TTTCGAAGAGGCAAGGAGTGATACGCCATTGATGGGCATTGATCTTGTAGGAATAATAATGTATATTACCTTATATATGTAATTAGGAAAATAATTAGCATTTATGTGTAATTGGTAATTAGGGGAATAATTAGTTATTCCATTATTATAATTACATTATTTTAGGAAGTGAGATAGTATATATAGGGTACTCTATGTAATGTTAAAGGATGCAAAAGTGAATTATATTGAAGAGTTCTTCATCATTTTCTTCTGTTATATTATTTTTCTTTTGGAGTTACCGTAACTCGAATACGGATTGGAGCCAGAAACCTGCTCGAAAGGTTTCTTCCGTTGCGTACTAAATGTCAGTACGTAACACAGGTCAACAAAATAAATGGTAAAAACGAGCATCTCTCCGTCACTAAAAAATTGTTTATGAAATTTTATTGGAGTGAAAAATATGGCAAAAGTCCATTCCAATATGTTGTCATGCAAACACAACAGATGTACATATGATGCAATTAACAAGTGCATCATGATATTTTACTACAAAAATTATACTTTACCAATTCAGTCACACTTTTTGAGTTTTTGAACCCAAAAGTTAGTAGCAATAAAAGTGCACTAAGATCAGAGCACATTCCAAAAGTGTGTGAAATGGTTTCTCGTGCAAATTTGCGAACTAAAGGAATAAACACTAACTACTCTAGCTTCACCCGCAACTATAGGAATGAACTGCAGCTACTACACGAATGCACAACAACTACTATATGAATGTACCGCAACTATCCGCACGTTATTCCAGACATGCTTGAGAGTAGTTGTGGTACATTATGTGTAACTTCGCACAAGAAGGCTGGTTTACATACGAACGTAAGTACGTAACTATATATATATATATATATATATATATATATATATATATATATATATATACGGGCAAGTTCTGGTGCGAAGGATCTCTAAGGTGAAAGATGTAGTTAGATTTGAGTCATTGATCAAATCTAAATCAACAACACAAATCAATGAAAATTAAAAATAAAAATAAAAATTCCTCGGTCATTTGGAGCTCGACTATTATCTCTTCTCTTCTGTGTTACTTTAGCAATGTCCATTAACTGATTGCTGAAACAACCATTAACTGATTGCTGAAACATGATTGGAAAATGATAGTGGTTGTGTTTTGGGATAAAGAAGCAAACTTAAAATGGTGCATCTTAAAAAGGAAAACAACGCACCTTAAGAAGGAAAATAAAGCACCTTAGCTTAAGAAGGATCCCTTGGCATAATAACGAGCTTTATAGACACGAGCCACCAGAGATTCAGGTTTAGTAAGCATTCGTCATGCCTGTTTACCTAACATAGCTAGATTAAAGGCACGTAAATCCTTAAAACCCAGACCACCATATTTCTTAGGGACACACAATTTATCTCATGTCTTCCAATGTATTCGACGGTCAGTTCTAGAGTCCCACCAGTAGCGGTTCATAGTTCTTTCAATAGCTGTGCACACAGATACTGGCAGTAGAAAGACACTCATTGAGAAGGTAGGCATAGATTCTGCTACACTTTTTAATAAAATTTCCTTGTCTGTCTGTGATAGTAATCTCTTATTCCACGATCTAATTCTTTGCCGAATCTTATCCTCAATATATGAGAAAGCTGTCTTCTTGTTTCTCCCAACAAAAGAAGGAAGCCCCAAGTATTTTCCAAAATTAGAAGCCTGTACCACTCCCAAGACCTGCGCCACATTTTCCTTATCTGTTTCACTCGTATTCCTGCTATAGCATATGCTAGACTTGTGGAATATAAATTTATACATTACACATTAATTTTCCGTACATTAATTACGAAAGTACAATAGAAATAAATCGAATACAAATATATAAATTACATTTCCATTCTGAAATACGCAAATGGGAAAATAGAAATAACTAAAAAACAAAATTGGGAGCGGAGTTTCCTTTATTTTAATTTGCAATTGCTTGCGTGGTAGATTGACTCCGGACCGGTGATAGAGGAGAAACTCATCCATTTTGCTACAATAGGGGTGTAAATGAGCCGAGCTAATCGTGAGCCGCTCGCGAGCGGCTCGGTCAAAGCTCGGCTCGAGCTTGAGCTGAACTCGAGCAACTCGTTTAATAATCGAGCTCGAGCCGAGCCTAATTATTTTAGGCTCGTGGTTCGTCGAGCCGCTCGCGAGCCTTATAATAATAATAATAATAATAATAATAATAATAATAATAATAATAATAATAATTAAATTTCTACCCTTCTAATCTGTTATCGCTTCCCCAACTCCCCATTCCCCACGCCCTAGCTCAGGCACTCAGCCAACAGAAGACGAGACACGAAGATAGTCGAGTAGTCTCCGGTCTCTGTCAATTTACTTAGCCGATAACTACCAATTATCCGATAAAACAAAGTAGTTTATTTTTAATTAGAACATGAATTTAAAATCAAACAGGTTAAATTTGATGTCAAAATCAAGCCCGAACTCGAACCCAAAATCGAGCTAGAACTCGAGCTCAAGATCGAGCTCGAACTCGAGCTGCTCGAAAATTGCCGAGCTCGAGGTCGAGCATCAGTTGTTGAGCTCGATCGAGCTCGAGCCGAGCCTTCCTTAACGAGCTCAAGCTCAAGCCAACCCAAGCTTGAGCTCGACTCGACTCGTTTACACCCCTATGCTACAATCCTTTAACGTCCCTTGTACTAACAGCCTCAAAGAAATACAAAGTTAAGCAAAGACTTTTAAGGTCCATTTATTAATAGAAAATTGTTTTCTGTTTTTTTAATTTTTCAATTTTCATTCTTTGTTTTTCATCTTTCGTTTTCTGTTTAGAAAACTTGTTTACTAACACTTATTTTTTAAAATTTATTTTTTAGATGAATGTTATAAAATTAGCACAAGTTTAATTTTGAGTAATTTTTAGATCTTATATTTAAAATATTTTTATATATGTTTGGCTTAAATGAAATAAATTTAATTTCATTTTTACTTTTAAGTACAATATATGTAAGATTTTTATATTTGATATAGGAACAAAATTTATATATGTATATAACATAAAAACTAAAAAATATATCCGAACCAATAGCATACTAAGTTCACCTAAAATTTAATTTAAATAATATTAATATTTTTTTGAGCTAATATTTAAATATTTTTTGAATATATATTCATTTGAATGGCATGTATATGAATATAAAATTTGTAATTTGAATGGCATGTTTATGAATATAAAATTTTTACTTTGAATTCTAATATATGTGAGATTTCAATATATCCGATATTTGGATCAAACTTGTATTACGATATAACATAACTAAAAATATCCAAACTAACAATCTATTGAGTTCAATCAAAATCTAAAATATCGTATAGTTTAATTTTGATAATGTAAATAATGTCTAAATTTAAAGTGTAAGAAAATAAGTTATGTATAAATAAGTAAAGTAAGTAGAAAAGATAGAAGATGGTGATAAGTAAAAAAGATGATAATGAATGTAATCATAGTAATGTGGTTATAGTGACTTATAACCAAATTGATGATAGATGATTATGTTTTCCATTTAGAAAACAGTTTTTAAGAGTGTTTCAGTTTTTTAGAAAACTGAAAAATTATTTTCAGTTTTCAAAACGAAAAAATGTGCTAGTAAACATGTGTTCTATTTTTTGTTTTCCAATTTCTGAAAATTCTTGAAAATTTCATGTTAGTAAACGCCCCCTAATTCCCTGAGTAGAAATCCAACAAGGAATGTTACCGGGACCGCAGTCATAGACCATGTTTGGTAAATGACTGTTATCTGTTAGATGTTAGCTGATTGGGTTAATTAAAGGGTATAACTAGTTGATACATTAGCTGATTGTAGAAAGATGTCTGGTAACTTAGCTATTAGCTGATAACTGTTTGGTATAATTTCTTTTCTCAAAAAGCTAATTGAAAAAAATTGTTTTGAATAACTTTTTGAATTTTAGCATTTTAAAGTTATAAAAAGCTAATTAACCAAATACTTATATTAATTTTTTTAACCAAATCAAAGAGCCAATAGTGGTCAAATAAATCAAAATTGATTTATAGGCTAACTATTTTTACCAAACAAGGCCATAATCTGAATTGTATGTCGCGAAATTTAATTAAAATTCATTCTTCTTATCTTTCACACCGAAAAACATGGTAGGGCAAAAAATAATGCGCATGAGAAAGTTGGAAAAAAAGAAAATAAACTTTCCATATCGAAAGAAGAGAGTGCAAAAGAAACAAGAGTTGCTATGTATATAAAAGAACTCAAATGCAAGGATATATTTCTAGGAATAGATCCACAATACGTCATTTAATTGAAGTAATAGTGAAAACAATTTCGTGGGGCCATACGCGTTTGGGACTTGCGGTCTTCTGAGTATTAGTAGAACGCAAGTCCCATTTGCATTCTTGTTTTTTATTAAAAAATAAATAAATAAATAAATAAACAAGTCCATGTCGGGTGTCAGCGGCTAAGTTGGCCCACGCACATGGTCGCTGACACCCTACTACTGCAAGTGGGATTTGTGGTCTTCTGTACGCAAGTCCTATTTGTGTTCTGCTCTTTACTAAAAGGTACATTTCATAGGAAAATACTTGGTTTATTCCCATTTTAAACTCTCAATGTATTTTCTTTTCATGTTTTTAACGTAGACACTTGTCAGTAGACTCACATGATAAAAATAATGAATTCTGATTTACCACCTTAGAAAATATAAATGAGGGAGTAAATTTTGGGAGTCTATGTAGTAGAACTCCACCCCATATGGGGTGTCAGTTTGACGTCCCATTGCCAAACCGCAAATAAGATTTGCGGTCTTCTGTATAACGCAAGTCCCATCACATCGTGACTTGCGATTTTCCGTGTGATACACCACCAAACAATGTAGATTAGTGGGTGGGAAGTATTGTCACACACTTTGTAGTTCTACCTATAAATAACACAATAATGATAGCAATATTCTTACTCACTCTCTGTCTTTTATATCTATATCTTCCCTTCCATACAAAACGTGGAAAGTATTCAACAATAGTCAATTTCAAAGCATGCAATCAAAACTTGTATATGTATGAGCTGAGGTAAAAGAAGAAAAAGAAACGGTAAGAGTTTTTTTTGGAATGCAGAAACGGTAAGAGTTTAAGTAAGTTGGACTTATGTAGTTAGAGTGTGTATATAGTTGGACTTATGTATAAATGATCTTATTTTGATTTGCAGGTACAATTTATGGGAAGAATAGGCTTTCATTGATCTACAATTAATATTCGGAAAATGCCCACGAAGGTTACAATTGCCTGACATGGACTATTAGGTCCATAAGTAATTAGTTAGGCTTACGAACATTGGTTTTATAGAGTTGGTCGCCGTTTAATTGATAACCAAGATCATCATCAAACGGAAGGATACTTACAGATGAACCCTTCATACGTTGCAACGGTTTAACTCAAAACCTCTTAATAGTACTTACACATCCATATAAATTCACAAATAAATATTTTTGTTTGACTTTTTTTTTTCCACAAATCAAAATATGTTTAGGTGGAAGCTTTACGGCAGATATATATTCTGGGTGAAATTGCTAAGGAGCGCGGAGAAAGCGAAAAGTATACGAATATAATGCAACAGATTGCTAGAAATGAACTTGTTAGGCTAAACTATGGTTATGTCCTTGATTTCCCTAGAAATAACGAGGACATCTTTTACCAGCCTATTCAACAAGTTCGAGGCCCGGACAACAGACGGGATGTAAACAGACGTGGTCCTCTAGCTCAGGGTGGTCATCGGCATCGACAGGATCATCGTTCCCTTTTGTGACCACGTCGCTAGTATAACTAGAAGGGCATTGTTGCCATTTTCCCATATATAACCGCGTCTTTCTTCTCTGTGTTTTCAGTATAAGAGTTTGTTGTTTTCCTTCTTCTATCAAGTTTTTACGTTTTGTTATCCATTCATCCTGTACTCACTGTGTTCATCAATGAAGTCTTCCATTCACCCCTTCACCTTCAACATCAAAATATTCCCATCACGGACGCCAATTTGGAGATAATTTTTTACCCCATTCATTAGCTCTTCAAACGAACATGTTATAAAGACAAACATCTCATTTTGAGGAGCAACATTAAAGTCAACATCATCTCTAGAATCATGTGTAGAAGAACAACATATTAGAACCACAACTTGGTCACCTACATAAACAAATATGATAGATGTAAAATGTATAATATAAATCATTTAAGCTCCACTACTAAAAATATTTATATTTCAATCCCTTGGAATTCATACATTCCATTTTCCGTAATCTAACTCATGCAAAAAAAGAAAAAAAAAAATGCATACACAATTAAACATAACCCGCGAAAAAAATAATAATAATAATTTACAACACAAAAAACATAATATATACTGACCTTTAATGATGTTGTCCATTTCAATTAAATTTGGCGAATGTATTTTGGTATGGAACAGGAAAGTCAGCCCATAACGAAAATGACCCATTACTTGGTGGCTTGTTCTTGCGTTGCACCTCACCCTCAGGTTCGTTTGTGTTTCTTTCCTCGAAGGCACAGCAAAAACGTGGGAACTTTGCAGCCCAAGTTTATTTATATATTTCTCTTTTTCTTTTATAATTTCCAGAAATGAAAATGGAATGTAAGAATTAGTCATTTCCGGAAATTTAATCAATATTTGAAATTTGTATTCGGTTTAGTTTTGACTTTTGACCAAAGTACTATACATTTCATTTATTGAGATATTGTCAATGCTCAATACTATTAGGACTCTATTATTCATATTAGACTAGGACTATATTATTCGTGTTAGACTAGGATTCTATCTAGCATCTCTATATATTCACTCCATGTACTCTCAAACATTATTCATTGAATACAACACAATTATATTCTCATCTGGTATCAGTTAGCCAGGGTTTTCTTTTCCAACATCCATGTTCCTCACTTCATAGCAATAGCCGATGGCATCATACCAAGATACACCGTATGGTCAACAACGTGACGTTGATGATCCGTGTCAAATTTGTAACCGTTTCGGTCACACGGGAGCCAATTGTGTTTGGCGTTATGATGATCCGTGTCAAATTTGTAACCGTTTTGGTCACACGGGAGCCAATTGTTTTTGGCGCTATGATGATCCGTGTCAAATTTGTAACTGTTTTGGTCACACGGGAGCCAACTGTTTCCGGCGTTATTCAGGGGCTCCGGGTTTTCAGGCTAATGTGGCCGTCTCTGGTAATAATGGTGATTCCAACGGTCCTCATCAGTGGTTCCCTGATACTGGTGCTACAAATCATGCTACGCCTGATTCTTCTTTGATGACTTCTGCGACAAGTTATGGTGGCCCGGAGACTCTGCGAGTCGGCAATGGTACAGGTTTGCCTATTGTTAATGTTGGTTCTGCTTCGTTAGCCACTGATTCTATGTCTTTTAAGTTACATGATGTTTTGCATGTCCCTGGTCTCTCTTCTTCTCTATTATCTGTCCAGCGTTTTGCAAAGGACAATAATGTTTTCTTTGAGTTTCACCCTCTTTGTTTCTATGTAAAAGACATTTTGACCAAGAAGGTTTTTTTTAAGGGACATGCGTCTGGGGGTCTCTACACATGGCCTGCGTCTTCTGGTTCCCCTGCTGCATTTGTTGCTACACGGTCCTCTTACGTTTGGCACATGCGGTTGGGGCATCCTCATTCTCGAGTCTTACGTAAAATTTTAGCGTCTTCGTCTGTTGGTACATTTAATTCTAGTGATCTTCCAAATGTCTGTTCCTCTTGTCAATTAGGAAAATCTTCTCGTTTTCCTTTGTCTCGTGTCGAAACTACTAGTACGCATCCTTTGGAATTAATTTATTCAGATATTTGGGGCCCTGCGCCATTACTTTCTGCGTCTGGCTTTAAATATTTTGTATTGTTTGTGGATGATTACACTCGTTATATGTGGTATTATCCCATGCGTGCTAAATCTGATTTGTATTCTATATTTGATAAGTTTCGGTCACTAGTTGAACGTTCCTTTTCTCGCAAGATTATTTCTTTTCAATCTGATTTAGGGGGAGAATATAAAAAGCTTGGTTCCACTCTTGCGTCCTTAGGTATTCGTCACAGGCAATCCTGTGCGTATACTCATGAACAAAATGGCAGGGTAGAACGTAAGCATAGGCATGTTGTTGAAACGGGACTAGCATTAATGGCTCAATCCTCTGTTCCGTCTCGTTTTTGGGATTATGCTTTTGAAACTGCGGTTTATCTAATCAATAAAATGCCCACTCCTGTCTTATCTGATAAATCTCCTCATTATCTTTTGCATCGGTCTCCTCCATCTTATTCACATCTGCGTGTTTTTGGGTGTTTATGCTTTCCAAATCTGCGTCCCTATAATCGCAATAAACTACAGTTTCGGTCATCCCCTTGTGTCTTTCTAGGATATCCTCCATCTTTTCGTGGCTATCGTTGTTTAGACACTAACACTAACAAGGTTTTTATCTGTCGCCATGTGCGATTCGATGAGGTTGTCTTTCCTTTTGTTGCTTCTGTGGATTCGCAGGTTCCAAAACCACGCCCGGAGCCGTGGGGTGTTGCACCAATTGTTTCTGGTGGTGATCCGACAATTGTCACGGCTCGTGACCCTCCTGTTGCGCCCATAGCCGCTTCTGACCACCACCACCAGCAGCCTGCTACTGCCGAGCCCGTGACCGAGTCCGAGCGGACAGTCACGGACCAGCCGGCTCCTCGGCCAAGAGGCCGGCCTCGTGGTCGGTCTCGTCCCGCGCACTCACCAGTTCGCTCTCATGGAATGAATACGAGAAGTTCGGGACCACATGATCATGTTGCTTTATCTGCTGCTGCTGTTACTCCTGAACCTACATGTTTTACTCAAGCGATTAAATTTCCTGAATGGCGGGATGCAATGGATTTGGAATTTAATGCCTTGGTGCACAACAATACATGGAGGCTTGTTCCCTTTAAATCAGGTATGAATGTAGTTGGATGTAAGTGGGTGTTTAGAACCAAGAGAAAGACTGATGGTTCGATTGAGCGTTACAAGGCTCGGTTAGTTGCCAAGGGATTTAATCAGATTGCCGGTGAAGATTTCTTTGAGACATTTAGTCCCGTTGTTAAACCGACTACGGTACGTCTTCTCTTATCCCTAGCTATTTCTCGTGGATGGACTATTCGACAGCTAGACATACACAATGCTTTCCTAAACGGCAATCTCGCTGAGACAGTTTATATGTGCCAGCCCCCTGGCTATGAAGACAAAACGATGCCCGGGCACGTTTGTCTCCTTCAACGTTCTTTGTATGGGCTTAAGCAAGCTCCCCGTGCTTGGTTCACTCGTTTGCATGATTTTCTGGTTTCTGCTGGTTTCTCACCTTCCAAGACAGATGTCTCTCTATTCACATATTCACATGGCAATACTCGTCTATATTTTCTGGTTTATGTGGATGATATTTTGGTTATGGGATCTGATCCGGCTCATGTGACTGCTCTTATTGACAAGTTGGCTCTTGAGTTTAAAGTTCGTGATATGGGTGTTCCCTCGTTCTTTCTGGGTATTGAGACCGTTTCGTTGTCTGATGGCATGCTTCTGTCTCAACAACGGTATATGAAGGATATTCTAAAACGGGCAGGTATGGTTGATTGCAAGCCCGTGGCTACTCCGGTTTCAACCGCGAAGGCCAAGACTGATACAGTGGTACCATACGGGGGTGTCTTTCTCTTCGGCGCATCACTTCGTCTCCATCAAGTTGACATCCCGCAATTTTTTGTTTTGGCGTACAGCTTCTTCCGTTCTTGGATGGCCAAGGGTTGTTGGGTTTTGTCGATGGTACTTCGGTATGTCCGCCGATCACCGCGCTTGCCGTGCCGCCTGCCGAGGGAGCTGTTCCTGCCGTGCCTTCGTCGGCTTCGTCTTCCGCTGCTCGGAGTGCATTGCTCCGTCAAGATAAGGCCGTGCTCTCCTTATTAATCTCATCCTTGTCCGACGAGATGATGCACCTCGCAATCGGTAAGTCCACTTCTCGGCATTTGTGGTTGGCAATCGAACAGGTTCTTGGTTCGACTACACGGGCTCGTGCCCTCCGGTTGGTGGGCGAGTTGCAAGGATTACGGCAGGGGGATGCTTCGATCCCGGACTATCTTGGCCGTGCGCAGGTGCTTATCGAGGATTTAGCGCTTGCCGGCCGTCCGGTGACGCTAGAGGATCAGAATATGTATATATTCCGAGGCTTGCGGTCCGAATATCGTCCTTTGGTGGCGTCGCTCACAAGGGGTGCTCCAGTGTCTCTGCCCGAGCTGATTGTGTTCTGTATTTTTGTAATTTTCGGAAATGAAAGTGTAATATATCAATTTGTATTCATGTTTTAAAAAAAATTGCATTTAAGGAAAGATAAATTTCTCGTGGTATAAATACTCTGATCATCATTCATTTAAGGGCATGTTTGGTTCATGGAAAATGTTTTTCAAAGAAAATATTTTCCTTGAATTTGAGGAAAACTAGATTTTTCTTTGTTTGGTTCATGGAAAACATTTTCTTCAAAAATGAAGAAAACATTTTTCATGAGCCCCCCTTGATATTTTGTTTTCCATGGAAAATATTTTCCATAAAAAACAAGTTGGACAATTATGCTCTCGCCAACTTTTCTTAATTACATTATTATCGTTGTTGTTATTATTATGTAGGGATATAATTATCTTTATACTCACTATTCCTTACCATTCCAAACTCAACCAAACAATGGAATCGATACTCCCTATAATTTATTTTTCACCAACCAAACAATGTAATTAATCTTTTCGATAATTTCTTTTGCATGGAATTTCAATTCCATTTCCTCTGAAATATTTTCCGCAAACCAAATGGGACCTTAGTTGTCACTAAGTACTCATCAGGAGATAGGCATTGGTGCTTACTTCTTACCAATCTACACATTACTACCCATACATCCACTTTACAAATTTCTTTTCATCATGGATATATTTGTACAATTTTCAAGGGTATCATGCGTCAACCGACAACGTTATAATATAAAATGTTATTTTGCACACACAATCAACGGACGGAAAATATTGTATGCAATTGTAGAGCATACAACACAAATAAATATATTTGTTTATCACCTCCATCATGGGTAAAATATACGAAAATGCTAGGACTAAATGCGTCGGATCCAATTATAGTAATGTATCCGACTTTCGATAATATATTAGTAGTTTATTTTGTATTCCAACAAAGCATAAATCTTTAACAAAATCTAATTCATATAAACACTTGAACACAATTACCGACCAAAACGCCATAATGTTGCGTTCTAATCAAATTTTATGCCAAAACATTTTTCGAAACACAATGTGCATGGGAGAACCGCATGTTGGACATCGCACATGTGTATGAAGTCGTCGGCGTCCGGCGACTCAAACGCGTGTCCGACATGTGTTTGATGTAGGACATCTCGAACACGCGTATTAATGTAGGGTGAAAAAATACGTCAGACGTAAGTACGAATTGCGTCTGACATACAAAATACCTCAGAAGCAAGTGACTATTTAAAAAAAAAAAAAATTAATCTCAAAGACATTTGGGACATGTATTTCTAACCTCAAACGCATGTTCCAAACGTCCTTTTCTTAAAATCGTCCGCCTTTTCAGAACATCCTATTTTGGGAATTGCATGGTGTTTGAGTGTTTGGCAAGATTGCCTGATTTTATGAAAATATTTATAGTGGAAACTGATGCATCGGATGTTGGCATTGGCACACTGCTCATATTTGAGTTGGGCAGAGTATAGCTACAATAGTAGTTATCATAGTTCTATCAAAATAGCCCCGTATGAAGCGGTCTATGGTAGGAAACCTTCTCAAATTCCACCATACAAAAAAGATGTTACATCAGTTCAGGTTGTGCATGAGTGGCTGCAGGACGGGCATGCACTCTTACAGTTGCTCAAAACAAACCTACGGGAGGCTAAGGAACGTATGAATTAGAAAACTTATGCAGGCCGACGCGAGGTGAATTTTGAAGTCGGGGATAATGTGTTAATCAAGCTACAACCCTATCATCAAACTTCGGTAGCAAAGCGTGTTTCACACAAACTAGTCAGACGCTACTATGGACCTTTTAAGATCACAAAACGAATAAGCAACATTACTTATCGACTTGATTTGCCAACTTCGGCACGAATACACCCCGTTTTTAATGTCTCTATGTTAAAAAGAGTTTAAGGGAGATCATATGCTTTTTTGTCCACCAACTTCCGAAGGAATTTATTGGCCACCACGGCACCACCCAATACTCAAACCAGTCGCTATTTGCAGCCAAAGGGAGGTGCTCAGAAATGGATGGATTAAGTCTCAATTTCTAGTCCAATGGAGTAGCGCAGCAAACCCCCTGAAAATTCAACATGGGTTCCAACAGAAGATTTTAGTAAGTTGTACCCAGAGTTGGAAGCAGCGGACACAGTTCTACAAATCTGCGACAAAGTCTTTCACAATACTCGTCACCATCTGCAACTAGCTCAATTAAGAATGAAGCAAACTTATAACATAATGCGCGGGGAAGTTAATTTTTAGCTAGAACCATGGGTATGGGTAAAGCCGCAGCCATATCACCAAAAAGGCCAATAAACTCTATCCTCATTTTTGTGGGTCATTCCAAGTTCAGGAAAAGAGAGAGAGAGGTAACTTATATTTGAACTCCCACGAGATTCACAAGTACATAATATCTTCCATGTAGCACTTTTGAAGGAATCCAAAGACATTTCGACATCAGTAATTGCACCATTGCCACCAACCATAGAACGACGACTAGTTATCCAACCAGCTACAATCCTTCGATGTAGGCTAAATAGGGGAAACCATGAGGTCGTGGTGAGGTGGCAAGGACTGTCCCACGAAGATGCCACATGGGAAGAGTTTCAGAGTTTTAACACAATTACCTGAATTACAAGCTTGAGGATAAACTAGATGTCACAAAAGGGATGATGTAGTCTAGGTATGTGCTTACAAATAGCGGTCATGAAAATAAAAACACTACAACTAGAGAAAGCTTGAATACTTTAATTTGTTTTATTATTTAGTCATATTATTAGTTAGTCTTTATTATTTAGTAGTTCACTTTTGAGTAGCATAGCTTGTGACTTTTAGCACTTTAAACATAATAGTCTCACAATAGCATTCTTCCCTCACCTTCTAACTTTATTTTCTAAAAAAAGTTCTGACCAAAAAAACAAAGAAAAAAAGAACAGATAACTGGGCCAAAGAAAAGCAAGAGAGAGATCCATATATAGATGAAGCATATATTACATACCTGCCAGCCCAGTATGGAATTGCAATAAACCAGTGTTTGGAGATGTTGAAAGCCCGGGGATCTGGAATCATCAGCTAACGGGTTCCTAAAGGTCGAAAAAGCAGTCAAAAGTTACCCAAAAAAGCGGAGAATTAACATGCATGAAGATTGAAGAGCAAGGGGGTAGAGTCATCTTTATCTCATATTCAAGCTCAACAAAAAAACACCTCGACAGGAGTGTAAATGATAATTGCCTCCTGGTGCATCATGCAATTCCTGGTCTTAAAATATTACAGCAGATTTTTTTTTTTTTTTTAAGCATAAAAAATGAGCAGGCTGCAAAATTGTAAATCAAGAATCTTCTATATCTACCAATGGTGAAACCTGGACACAAAAAAAAAAAAAAAAAAAAAAAAAAAAAAAAAAATTGATTCCAAAAATGTTTACCTTCCGATTGGAGCAAGAGGAAAGCATAGATTGGCCTCCCACATTTCCTTGGGAATTGGCTTTGGACATAAAGAACCCCTCATTGTTAAAAGGAAAAAAAAACATTCAGTACTGTCATCCAGGAATGCTAACTTGGAAGAATGGTGAATCAGTGACCTATATGAACTATGAAGAAAGTTGAACAAAAAGACAAGCTTAGTCAACTTTTAAATTTTAGTTTAATTTCATTCTGCAAGTAAATTTATACCACAAAGATGCATAATCACCTCACATATTAGGACATAATCATTTAGGATATGTTTTTAAATAGACATAATATTTAGGTATGGAATTGCAATGAATGAAAGGTTAGAAGTTCCTTTTACAAATTAAAAAAAGGTATTTTAATAAAATCTTGAAAATTCAGGATGCATGCTCACAAACTCAAAAGAAGCTCAGCCATACAACTCCTAGGCAACAAGTTATTTTATAGTCAGTTAACAAGTATTAAGAGGAGCTATCTCTGCATTTGAAGTAAGCAGAACACAAACAGATACTTTATAATCAATGATCAAATCCATAAATATCTTCTGACTACTTCATAAGATTGCAGAGAACCTCAGAAGCAAGATTTAAAATAACATACAACATGAGAAATAGAAAACCACATCATTATTGCAAAGTATAATTCCATTAACACTTCTAAAATGGATCCAAAAAGGAGTTCATTACAATTCCAAAGCAGATCATTACAGATTTATCATGATTCACGAAGACCAAAAAGAACACCTAAAATCTAGCTTAATATTCCCCTACTACTATCAGATAGCCACCTCGAACAAAATTACAAACTGGGGAAGAGAAACCGATACATCTATGCATTCAAAGGTGATTAGAAGTCATAAGACAAAAAGAACATTTTGTGCACCAAAATGAAAAGCTAACCCTTATGTACTTGAAATGCATTATCTAGACTGTGAATTATAAATGATGCCTGCAATGGATGAAAAGAGATCACTCTCAGAGAAGAGACTTACATTAACGCGGGACACTTAGACAAGTCACCCTCGCAAATGCTCTCCTCTGATCATTCATTTCAATTCTTAAATTGCATCTACACATTCATCTCATCATCCATGTGAGAAGCCTCCTTGATACTAACATCAACAAGAGAGAGTTCATCATTCTCCGATGCCTCAACATTGAGTCTATCACTGTCTCCCTTCACGTCAACATCCAGCTGCTTCTTGTCTTCTTTCTCTTGCAAATCCATGTCACTCTTCTCGTGCTCGCTTTCTGCAGCCTTGATACTAACATCAACAAGAGAGAGTTCATCATTCTCAGATGCCTCAACATTGAGTCTATCACTGTCTTCCTTCATTTCAACATCCTGCTGCTTCTTGTCTTCTTTCTCTTGCAAATCCATATCACTCTTCTTGTGCTTGCTTTCTGCACCCTTAGCTCCATTGTCATCAGCCCCAGCTTCTTCAAAAGTCTCATTATTCCAGTGTTGCTGAGTTCCTTTAACAATGTTCCCTTCACTCTCAGCAGTTTCAATACCACCATCATTAGTGTTATCTGATTTTAGGTTCACATCTACATGTTCGTTCTCTACAACGATTTCAACATTGTTATCTACAGATGGAGCATCACTGAAACTTTCAGTTTCACTATCAGATTCATTTGCCACTGCTTCTCCATTATTCTGCCTCTCAAGACTCTGCAATCTCCTCCTCAGATCACCCAACTCCCTCTCCATCAAGAACAGCCTCTCCTTGAGAATTAAGTTCTCCTCTTCTAATTGAGCAATATGAGTATCCTGATCATCCACCCTATTCTCCAAAACGTTGTTGTAGTCTGCACTATGGTTTGGATAAATCATCTCAAAACGGCTCAAGTCATGGTCCAACCTTCTTTCCACCTCAACATGTTCCTCCACATCACTCTCACTAGACTCTCCATCCTCTTCATCCTCATCTTCATGGGGTTCTAACTCCTGACCAGGAGATCTCAGTCTAATCAAACCCTTCATTGATCCATATCCATCCAATCCCCACTCCTCCTTAGCCATATCCACCACAACTTCCCTCGATGGGGAGAAATTAGGTGTTGGAAGCACAGCCGGTGTCACAGGATACGGGGAGACTAATGAAGCAATCCCACCACTCTTCTTTGCCCGGATAATAAATGATGTTGTATTCCGAGGAGCAAAGGGTGCATCCCTATTGTTGTTGTTATTATTATTATTGAAATTATGAAACTTCTTTTTAGGGAAAAATCTCCGGGCCTTTAACCGGTTTTGTTGTTGCAATTCATTAAGGGTGGGAGGTTGGTAACCACCATAGCCACCGGATGCGCCATCACCAGTTCCAGTCACACTGCTAGTACCGATGAGCATCGACTTCTCATTCCTTCTCCCTACATCCATTCTCTTGTCAATCTTATTCATTTTCTTACCCTTCCAATTACTCCGTGGTCGCAGTGGCTTCGATTGCTTCCCCATCACAAACCCCTGAGGCTTCATAGCATTAAAGCTTGGGTTTGGGAAGTTCATCTGATCCATAGCCGGAGGCGGCGGCGCCTGTGGCCACATCCCGTAGCTACGACTCATCACCGGCGGCTGCTGTAACTGCGAATTGCAACACCATAAGCTTTTCAGAGAGACTAATACTAGTAAAAGTGAAATTAATTCAAGGATTATGAAACCCTGGAAATGAAAATTCTTTTCCGGATGGATAAATACCTGCGGATGCGAATTCATCCCCATCATTTGGCTCTGACTCATACTCATCATCTGCTGCTGTTGATTCATCATCGACGCAGATTGCTCATTCATCTCTCTCTATTAAATTTTTTAAAAAATAATAATAAAACTCAAGAATTAAGAAGAAAAAATCGGAAAAGAATTACAACCCTAGAAATAATAGATCCAACTTCGATTTACGCAAAAGCTCCGATCTGAATTTTACCAGGAAAATTAAATAAGTTATAAAATAAAGGTTACTTACGCAGAGAACAAATATCAAAACCCCTAAATTTGAAAATTTAGAGAGATTTTACAGAGTTTCCGCAGCTTTTATGTTCACCGAATTGAAACAGATATATGGAGAAAATTCTCTTTATATATTTGATTTGATTTTCCACTGTTTCTACAACTTCATTTGATTTGTTCTTTGGCGATTTGAATTCGAATCGATTCCGACAGATTTTTATTTGATTTCGCTTGGAATTCACGTGAGATTTCCTGCGTCGGCAAATGAAAGAAAGTTGGGTTTACCAGTTTATATAGCGGCCAATGATGCATCGATGGTTCTGATGTGGGCGGGTAATAATCAACGGTTGAGATTAAGAAGACGTTTGATTATGTTAGATTTATGCTCCGTAATGCATAGAACCGCCCTTAGATGTGTTGGTAATTACAATAGCAGCCATTGACATGTTATTTTGTTTCAAAAATGAAAACATAAATCTTATTTTGATCCTTCGATTATTTTTTATTTCAAAATGTGGTCCTTCAACTTTTAAGTAAATAAATATGGTCTATTAATTTTTTTAATTTTTAATTTGACCCTTCAATTGTTGGTCAATTATATTACGTGGAGAGATTAAATTTACACAACTTTAATAAAAATTGAGAGACCTCACTTAAAGTTTGAGAAATCACTTCTCAATTTTTTTTTAAATTAAAAGATAAAAAAAATGTTATTATTCCTAAAAACAAATGATAAATCAAAATGTTAGGATATATAAATGCCATGCATTGAGTCAGGATTCGAAGTTCTAGGATGTAGCACTCGTGCTTAGTCCAAGTAAGAGTATCATCAATAGTTAGTTTTTTGTATAAATTTTAAAATATCAAGTATGAGAGAATGAGGAAGGAATATGTGTGTGTGTGTGTTCAAAAAGGAAAAAATTGAGAAAGTTTTGGTTACTGCGCCCAATTGGGTAGAGCTAGCATTCACGCGAACCAACCCAATTTTTTTTTATTTTTTTTTGGGGTCTCACTTTGGAGATAAAAATCAGGTTCTTCAACATACAATGACCTTCCATCTTCTCTCTCCCCTTTCTCTCTCTCTTTCACTTCAGCAAACCCACTCCAAGAACTCTATTGCGATTGCTCTAACATACTTAACAAGTAAAAAAACATAACAATTAAAGTGATAATCACAAAGCCTATTTTGGTGTTGTCAGGAGGGTTCTATTATATTTTTGTTGTGTTGTTACATTTACATTGTTTAGTCTCTTAGAACCCAGTAATGATAGCATATTCGTGGTAAACAAGATGAAACACAAAAAAGAGAAAAGAGGTTACCAAAGTGACTAGGGAGAACCATAGATCGATGTAGAATAGTCACACCCTTGGAATCCATTTTTACCATTATGCCATTTTCTTTTGCTTGGTCTTCTTACCCCCTTTATGCCATTTTCTTTTGCTTGGTCTTCTTACCCCCTTTATAAGACGGATCGGACTCTAAATATATGTAAATAAATTGAATTCTTCAAGTGAAATTTAGAGTTTAAGCTAACATCCTGAGCCACTAAATTTGTATGGGCTCATCACATTGGGCTTCCCATTGGACTCGGGGTACATAATCCCGACACCACAAATATTGGATCTAAAGAAATTAAAAAAATATGATTCGATTCCATTATTCGAAGAATTATGACTCGATTGTATTATTATGATATGATATTAACATTTACTATATAAATTTTGGTAAGCAACAAATTCATCAATTTTTTATGAACTTGGCAAACTTTATTAGTTTGATAAACTACTTTTCACTTGGCAGAAAATTTTCAAATTCCTCAAAAATTTAAATGCTACTTATAATAGACTTTTAGAAATAGTGAATTGAATTTTTATTTTTTAATTTCAAATGTCATATTTGCCCAAATCTCTTTTCTCCTCTTTTTTGGAACCTCTCTCTACTTTCTCCTATTATGCATTTCGATGTATTGAAAAGTGGTAGGCAGTTTTACTCTTCTTTGCAACTTCTCTGCTGGTTCCTCTACTTTTTATATGCTTTATAGCTTCTATGTTTTAGAATTATTAGTTTTTTTTTTTTTTTTCTGAAAGCAGAATTATTAGTTTTAATCTCTAATTAATTAATAATTGCACCCGTTTAATAAAAAGAATAATTGTTGGGAGAAGAAAACAATAATTGTTCAAACATCATAGACTCCATGTTTAAACTCATGATCTCCGACACAGTTGAGCATAGGCTCCATAAATTTCTCACATCAATTATACTAAATTTGAATCTCAATCCAATCAATACAAGAGTAATGTTAGATAGCGCTTTTATTTTCCTCTAATTCATCTCTCATGATGATGTAACATTATTTAATTGGTAACATTTTTTTTTTAAAATGAGCGGTGGAGTTTGTCAATTAATGGACAACCAAGGAAAAAAAGTCACATCAGGAGAGAAAGACAAAAAATTGTGTGAGACTATCTCACGTATTCTTGTTCGCGAGACAGGTAAGGTCAAAACGAAAATGTAATACTAATTAATCAGGAATTAAGTGTTTGTTACTTATAAGCGAAAAGATAATACTTTTTCATTTTGATTTTAAAAGTATTACATTTTTTCTCAAAAGCATTTACAATTACCTTTATAAGTAACAAACACTTTATTCCTAATTAGTATTATGTTTTTCGTATAAGTATTACATTTCTATGATGATCTAACCTGTTTTACAGTCTACCGATAAGGATCCGTGAGATGATTCCACAAGAGAGTCACTCCGAGAGAAAATATTCTAGGGGAATAAATGATTTTCCAAAATACAAAAGGGGATCAGAATTATCTGTTAGTAAAAAAAAAATATTCCAACTGAACTGATCCTAGCATCTTTTTTTTTTTTTTTTTTTTTTTTAATTGTGGGATGCATGAAGGAATGCATTTAAAATTTAAATAGCATATTCATATGCTTCTTTGCTTTATGACAACTTGATAAAAGTTTTGTATTCCACTATATATGATTTCAAATATTTTAGCTCTGTGCTTAGATATTTTGTAAATAACCATTCCACAATCTCAATTAGAATACCAAAAAAAAAAAAACAAAAAAACAAAAAAAAAAAAAAAAAAAACAAAAAACAAAAAAAAAAAACTCTGATCTCTATCAAAAACACATTGATGATGACAAAATAAGTCTTGTCTGATTATTGACCGAGAAAATTTTGAATTTTTATTTTTTTTCTTTCTTTTTGGATATACTAATTTTTAGATGAAAAAGAGCTATCTTAATTAGGGTATATAGTAACAACATGCACTAGTTTCAAAATACATTTAGTGGAGTATAATTAACTAGGTGGTCCAATGGCTAATTGGTAAAAATTGAGTGTCTTCTAGGTCCTTTATTGAGTATATTGAAATATTGGATGCATATAAAATAGTAATGAGATTTTAGTGGTCAAAAAAATTATATTTATGAAAGTGATGCATATCTTTTGAAAACAAATTGATTTGTCATCTCCTTCTTTAGCATATTAGCATATCGCTTTATTTCAATTGATTCAATCTTTTGTCGAAAGGTTTCATAAGCCTAACAATTCTAAACATGTCCCTTTCATTATCCTATCTCATAATAAAAGGGTTCATTAGTTTGACAATTCTAAATTTATCAATTTCATTGAGAGATAAAACCTATTGATGCAAACAGTAAAACAATAAGAAACCTTTGAATTGCTGCATTGATTCAGTGCTTATAATATCGAGTCTTATACATTATCTAGAGAATTGAGGGACAAAATCACTAATACAAACAGGGAGGTCAATTATATTAGGAGTTAAATTTTATTTATATTATATTGAGCCATTAGCCATATATGACTTTCTCGATCAACTCCCTGTCTGAGTTTAACAATCCTTGACAGGTAGAACAATGAAAAAGATGGATGATTCAAACTAAACTATGCGATCATCCACTACTTGTGCTAATTCTTCTTCATTTTCTTCAAGCTTGATGAATTTATACCATCTTGCACAAAGCACAAACAACACAAAATCCACGGCAGCCATTCCGGCGATGAGGAAGTAAAACCTGTCCATATGTCCGGCGTTCAAATTCTCCGGGATCCATCCCGGCATCTTTCCCCGCACCGTGATATCCATCACCACATTCACCAACATGCTGCTGAAGTAATTCCCGAGAGACATGGACGCCATGCAAAGCGAGCTCCCGAAGCTCTTGATCCCGTCGGGGGCTTGCCCGTTGAAAAACTCCAGCTGCCCGATGTACATGAACACCTCCGACGCCCCCACCAGCACGTACTGCGGCACCTGCCAGAAGATGCTGAGCCGGCTCGTTGATTCCCCGGGGGAAACTCGCCTCAGGCGCTGGATCTCCGTCACGCCGGCGGCCACCATGGCTAGCATTCCGATGATTAGCCCGACCCCCATGCGCTGGAGCTCCGTGATGCCCTTGGGGTTGTTGCTGACGGCGGAGGTGAAAGGGATGACGACGAAGCGGTAGAGGATGGTGCAGACGAGGACGCTGCAGATGTCGAAGGCGGACATGCTGGCCGCCGGGATGCGGAACCCGCGGCCGCCCAGGTGGGTGTCCATCACCTCGCCTTGCTCCACGAACAGGGATGACATTTGAGTGAAGATGACGGAGTACATTATGGTGCACATCCATATGGGAAGCAGTCTCAGTATGCATTTGGTTTCTTCCACTTGCGTCACCGTGCATAGCCTCCATGGATTTGGCGACCCAATTCTATCATTCTGTGTCACTATCGCCGCCTTGTCCAAACACCTGCCACACCCATCCCACCAATTTATTAGATGAAAACAAAATTTATTGACAAAATCGCTGGTCAGATAAGTAGCTGAACTTTATTCAGAAAATCAATTAGACACATAAATATGTTGTTTTAGAATATTAAAGCCCATAAACTAAGGTTTTGGTGATCAATTTCTGGGACAAGCTCATGTTTGTCGTCGGAAATTGGTTGGAGGATTGCCGGAACTTTAGTGACCTGCAATTACAGGTCACTAACTCGTTTCTAGGCTTCAATACTCCAATTTAGATGGTTTATCATTTCTAGGCTTCAATACTCAAATTTAGATGAAAACCAAATTTAATGACTCTGCAATATGTTGTTTTGGAGTATTGAAGTCCAAAAACGAGGATTCAGCCGGTGTTTGTCACCGGTAATTGGTTGGAAGAGGTGGAACTTTAGTGACCTGCAAATCTGCAATTACAGGTCACTAACCCGTTTTTAGGCTTCAATACTCCAATTTAGATGAAAACCAAAGTTAATGACCCTGCAATATGTTGTTTTGGAGTATTGAAGCCCAAAAACCAGGATTCCGATGACCAATTACAGGGGATCGTCGCCAGATTACATGTCACTAGTTTCTAGGCGTCTAAAATAACATATTGTTCAAGCCCTATTTGATTTTTTTTCCCAACATTACTCAAAGAATCAATTAGGGAACTTTTAAAATTTAAAATTAAACCTATAAATATGTTGTTTTTTGAGAAATGAAGCCCAAAAACTAGGATTTCTGTGACCAATTTATGGCGACCATTAGCCGGTGTTTGTCACCGGTAATTGGTTGGAAGAGATGGAGTTTTAGTGACTTACAATTACAGGTTACTAGTTTCTGCGTCATGTTATTCAAGGCTATTTTTTCCCCAAATTTAATTAAAATGAAATATAACAACAAAAAACAATGACTAACTTGAGGTTATCAGTGTGCAGGATCTTCCGACTTCCTCTAATGGAGGATTGAGAGCAGGGTGCAACCTCGTACAACTCCTGTCCTTCTGGGAGTTTAACGCCGAGTTTCCGGTAAGCAGCTACAAACACTTGAGAAATGCGGTTAAAAGGGTTACCAAATGGCTGAACATAAGTATAGCCGGGGGAGCCCAGAAAGAAGAGAAGCAACCCAGTAACTGCAGAGCCGGTAGAAGACCAAAACCCTATAGTCCAATTCCCAGAATCCTCGAAGTAAGCCAAGATGGTGTTGGAGAAGAGCGATCCAAGATTGAGTGCGAAGTAGAAGCAGCTGAAGAAAGCCGTTCTGGAAGCCTTTGCTATAGGGTCTGATTCGTCGAATTGGTCGGCCCCCAGCGTTGCAACCGTGGGCTGGTGGCCGCCGTAGCCAAGCGCCACCAGATAAATGGCGATGTAAAATACGACATTCCCGGCGGTGGTCGGCGGCGTGCATTTCTCTATGCCATCGCCGCACTTCACAGGCTTAACCAACAGATATGAAGACGCCAATGATAACATCAACAGCCCCTGCAGATTCACAAATTCATCAAAGCGTTCGTTAGTTTATACTATTACTAGAGGATATTTTCTTCTTGAATAATATAATATCCAGCAAAAGCTTAAATAAACCTCTAAATTTTACCTAAAAAGTTAATTAGACACTTAAATTTTTAAAAGTTACAATTAAACCCACAAAAAAAGTAATTTTGGAGCAAACCCAACCCAGTAACAAGTTGGTGATCTGTAATTACATCTCAACCTGTAATTCATCTCAATTAATATTCCAGCAAACTCCGACAAACATCCAGCAATCATCCAACTAAATTCCGGCAAGAAAAACGACAAATACCAGCGACCAACGACTGGCTGTGTTGCCAGAGAAGGCGGTCGCTGATATTTGTCTTTTTCTTACTGAAAGTTCATTAGATGGTGGTCGGAGGTTCGCCTGAGTTGACGTGAACCTGGAACCCGCAATTACAGGTCCTTAACAAGTTGGTAGGTTTCATTGCTAATAACTATTTGTGAGTTTAATTGCCCATTTTTAAAAATTTAAGAACATAATTAACTTTTTGAGATAAAATTTAGGAGTTTATTTGATTATTTTCTCTATAATATTCCATGATAAGAGATTGGTTGGATAGGGTGATTTACCACAATGAGAATCAACTGGAAGATGGCACAGGTTAAGTAGCGGCCCCAGTACGAGTCACTGAAGAAGGCACCCAATAGAGAGCACAAGTAAACCGTTCCGGTCCATTTGCTCACATTGTTAGCCGCAGTTGCATTTCCCTGACCCAACACTCTGGTCAAGAACAAAACCAGGTTCACGCCCACACCGAAGAACGCTAGCGTTGCAAGTCCTTGGTTTACTGTCCCATCAAAAAATTTTTACACAATTAATCAAACTTACACAGCTCCAAGAAATAGCACTAAAACTGCACCCAACTTGCACATGCATCAATTTACACATAACAAAATATTAAATTTAATATATTTCTCTAACCCATAACTTTATATAACAGGTAAGACTCGAGATAGTGTACCTAGCAAGAAACTTGCTGAACTCCAACCACCTGTCTTCTTTTTTCTGAATCGTTTCAGAAAACTCGAAATTCTTGTTTGTTGGTTGCCTCCATTAATGTTAACTTCATTGTTTGAAGAGTTGAGTTCTGCAACCTCTGCAACAACATGAGTTGAATCCATCGCGGCCATTTTAGGTATACTCTGCACAATTCAGAACCAGTTAAACATGATGATCAAAAAATAAACTATATATATATACACGAATGAAGAAAAAAACATGAAATGATCATCATAAACCAGATGGATCTGTTTTTCACACAGTTCTCCACACAAAACCCAGAGATTTAAACGTGAAACGAAGCAAAATCATGTCAGATTCAACAGAAAGTAACATGCATGCAAGAAAATTAACCTTTTGCGGAATCTGTTCAAGAAAGGGATGAAGGGTCCGGTAGCGGTGCCGGATTCCGGCGACGGCGAAGATCGCGTGTCGACAATAACGACTGGGCTCAATGGAAATCTACGATGAACACTGGTGAAACCTTTTGTCATTTATGGCGGAGGAAGAACAAAAAAAAAAAAAAAGGAAAAAGAAAACGAAAGCTACACGATTTCTTATTCACTAAATATAGATAGCACTATCGGAGAGAGCTAAAGAAAAACAAAGAACCATGCATATATGCAATTGCAAAAACAGTGATATAATGTAAATCAGGCCTCTCTATGTATGAATATGCATCTGTATCTACTGAATCTATATAGGTGTGTTAGTTTGCAGGTAAATAGAGTGCGTTAAAGTTTGCAGGCCGGTTTGAATGTGAGAGAAAACGTAACGGACATCCTAATAAAGCTTCAATTCATATAACAGATAGCCTAAAAGACAGCGAAAAAGTTTGCTCATTAGACACCTCACTCTATTGTTCCGGCTTTCCCACTGAACAGATAAGATCTTCTATCAGATCATACATTCATTGTTTTTAATTTATCAAATATTTCCATAATGAAATTTATTTATACGGTGATGATATATGTATGAGTTAGTTGGTCCGGGGACGGATATGCTGATTGCTGAATTCAGTGAATATAATTGTATTATTATTCTTCCAATATAGTTGTATTATTATTGGACATGTAATGCTAGCCATTTTTATGCAATTCGCGAAGGTTCAAGTCTAATATTACAATCATGAAAGAAAAAACTTACCCGCATGGCCAACTCAACTGGTCATAGAGGTGAAAGTTGGGAAGAATGACCAAGGATTGAGTCTCACCAGCCATAGTGTGGGAGCAATCAAAGTGAGGGGAGTTCCTTGTGCGCAGTGAGCAAAGGTCTAGCCTCTGTGGTTCATGTTCAGCCTTGGAAGAATGAAAGAAAAAACTTAAAAATATTTATCAATGAAAATCCATTTTAAAAATCTTGATTATTTTTTGTGTAAGGATGGCTTCTCCGGCTCCCTCGACGCAAAAATCATTTGAAGACAAGGATTTTCAAAAGTGCATGATACTGACCCTGTCATGGTTGATGTTATTCAGGAAAAGCCCTTAATGGATAACCGATTGATGATGATAACTAGATGATGGCGATCTTATCTTGGATGACGAGGAGATGAGGAAGTTGTGTGACGATGATGATTGCCCCACCATTGGCCTGTCAACAGAGGAGAAGGCTCACCTCCGGTGAACTTGGAGATAGTTTCTTATCGTTAAGGTTATGGGAAAAATTGTAGGTTACATATATCTTTTTCGACAAAAAGCCCCTGATGGATAACCTGTTGATGATGATAGCCCGATCTTATCTTGGATGACGAGGAAATGAGTAGGATGTGCGACGATGATGAATGCCCCACCATTGGCCTGTCAAAAGAGGAGAAGGCTCACCTCCGGTGAACTTAGAGAGAGTTTCTTATCGTTAAGGTTATGGGTAAAACGGTAGGTTACATATACATTCTTCGACAAAAAATTCATGATGGATAGCCTGTTAATGATGATGTCTGGATGATGATGATCTTGTCTTGGATGACGAGGCCGGAGATGAGGAGGATGTGTGACGATGATGATTGCCCAACCACTGGCCTGTCAAAAGAGGAGAAGGCTCACCTTCGGTGAACTTGGAGGTAGTTTTTTATCGTTAAGGTTATGGGTAAAACGGTAGGTTACATATACATTCTTCGACAAAAAATTCATGATGGATAGCCTGTTAATGATGATGTCTGGATGATGATGATCTTGTCTTGGATGACGAGGCCGGAGATGAGGAGGATGTGTGACGATGATGATTGCCCAACCACTGGCCTGTCAAAAGAGGAGAAGGCTCACCTTCGGTGAACTTGGAGGTAGTTTTTTATCGTTAAGGTTATGGGAAAAATGTTAGGTTACATATACATTATTCGACAAAAAGCCCATGATTGATAGCCTGTTGATGATGATGTCTGGATGATGACGATCTTGTCTTGGATGACGAGGAGATGAGGAGGATGTGTGACGATGATGATTGTCCAACCACTGGCCTGTCAGAAGAGGAGAAGGCTCACCTTCGGTGAACTTGGAGGTAGTTTTTTATTGTTAAGGTTATGGGAAAAATGGTAGGTTACATATACATTATTCGACAAAAATCCCATGATTGATAGCCTGTTGATGATGATATCCGGATGATGACGATCTTATCTTGGATGACGAGGAGATGATGAGGATGTCAAGATATGTGACGATGATGATTGCCCCACCATTGGCCTGTCAAAAGAGGAGAAGGCTCACCTCTGATGAACTTGGGGATAGATTTTTATCCTTAAGGCTATGGTCAGAATGGTAAGTTACATATACCTTTTTTGACAAATAAAAAATGTATGGCGCCCTAAGGGTAAGATTGAATTTGTAGTAATAGAGTATGGTTATTACAATTGTTTAAGTTTGAGCTTTCAGATGATTACAATTTTGCTAAGTTTGAAGTGTTATTGATGGTCCTTGATCATTACCTGTTCAGGTATGGTTTCTCAATTTGGATTTGGTTGTTGACAAAACAAAGTGTTTGCTGGATTGGCTTCACTTTCATTGTCTACCAATTGAGTACTTTGACGAAATGTTCTTTATAACGATAGGGGATAAAGACGGAGTACCCATTAAAGTTGATCAAGCAACTAGCTTGGTGTCTAGAAGAGAATTTGGAAAGTTTTGTATAGAAGTGGATATTACGAAACCTTTATTGTCCAAGTTCAAACTTCAGCAACGTATCCATAAAATTGAGTACGAAATTAAAGGAACCACCTTTTTTGTTTCAAGTGTAGAATCTATGGTCATCGATAGGACTAGTGTATTCAGATTTCAGAATGATGGTAATGACCAAATCGGTGATGGTCCAATAGGAAATAGTGATGGGGAGAATGGTGGCGACAAGAAAACTGGTGATTATCAACACATAGGAAAGGAAAATAGTCATTAATCCGAAGGTAGTTAACCTATTTGGCCCGTGGATGTTGGCATTGAGAAAGGAAATAAAGGGATCTAAAAGGCAAGAAATCGCATAAATCGTGCATGAGAAAAATAAGGAAGGACGGACTGGGGTGTATGTAGACAACAAACACATGTGGTTAGGTCGAAAGTTCAAGGCACTCGAAGATATTGAGGAAAACAACATTGGTCTTGATAATAATGTTGGTGATAATGAACCAAAAATCGATTTAATTTATATATACACACAAGAAAGTATATAAAATATTATTTGATATATATATCCGAAATATATATATATATATATATATATATATATATATATATATATATATATATATATATGTTGGAAAAATTAGCTTAAAATGGCATATTAAGTGGCTATTTTGTGGTACAATTATCAGTGGGGTCCACTTCCGATTTGGGTCGGGTCAAAGTGGATTCGGATTCTTCGTAGTAAGACGAAGAGATTGATATATTGTACGCTCAAAACGGATAATGGGTGAATGAGATATTGATTCTCAAAGTAGACCCATTTAAGTTGGGAAATGAAGGGAAAATGTAGGACTTTGTCCCACATTGGTTTGGAAACAAGATTTGCCCCCCTTATATACATGAGCTCTTTTCAAGCTTATAGAATTGTATAGCATAGAGGCTCTCTCGCGCGCGGGGGGGGGGGGGGGGGGGGGGTGTGCAAATCAAGCTCGTGTGCTCTCGTGTGAACCTGCACCCCAAAGTTCAGCCTGTTGTACAGATTAAACTCATCTGTTACGGAATTAATACTGTTTTAAATCTGAGTTTAATCCTACTTAGTGGGTGACCGTTACAGGTGTTATACAATTGGTTTAATACCAATTAAAGGCCATGTTGAATGCTATCCCTTCCAACATCCCTATATAAAGAGAGGTAGAGCAGTAGCATTTTACACACAGTGAGAAACAAAGGAATTCCAGTAGCTTTTCATCTCAAAACTCTGCTTCTACTCTCTTCTTTTAGCCAACCAGTGTTCTAAGCTTTGCTTTGTTTGCCGGGTTCCTTGTTTAGGTGCTTAAACAAGGAACCGTAGCACGTTTTATCCTGTGAAACCTAGGCTACAACGCTCCTAGCACTTGTGGGAGGTAGCAAATAAGGTTTTAAGGAAAAGAACTTTGTGTTCGAACTCGTGCTAATCCTTTACCCAAACACTCAACCTTTTCCTTCCCAATTCTTTCTGTTTCCCATATAATATTAATCTTTTCGTAGGATTATTATTTTTGGGAATTTTCAACCATATTACCCAACAATCTTAAAACCTTATATCCGTTTCCCGTTGGTTGTTTATCTCTAATTTCCTAGAAGAAATGGAGAATCCAGTTTTGCCAGCTCTCGGGGAGGAGAATGTTGTTGAGAACAACAGTGGTGGGAATGGCAATAATGTTGCTAATTCCCAAGCTACACCAGTGAACGTTGGTTCACAAGATGGTGGGAGCACCGAGGGATATATTCCCATGACTCGGGTACCTACGGTACCGAGTGGTTCGGCCGAAAGACCGGAGAAATTCACCGGTATTGGATCGAATTTCAAAAGGTGGCAACAAAAGATGTTGTTCTACCTAGCAACTCTCGGCTTGGCGAGATTTTTGACCGAGAAGGTTCCCGAACTAAGGGAACAGGATGCCCAATCCGTGATGGCAGTTGGCTATTGGAAGGATTCGGACTTCCTATGCCGAAACTACATCCTAAATGGATTGTGTGATGCGCTATACGATGTATATCGCAAGATTGGCACAGCGAAAGCGCTGTGGGAAGCTTTGGATCATAAATACCGAAGTGAGGATGCCGGCGCAAAGAAATTTGTGGTTGGCCGATTCCTTGACTTCAAAATGGTTGATTCCAAAACCGTGCTAAGTCAGGTTGAAGATTTACAACTAATCTTTGATGAAATCCGTGACGAAGGCATGACGTTGAGTGAAGCCTTCCTAGTGGGATCTGTTATCCACTTGCTGCCTCCAGGGTGGAAAGACTTCAAGAATTACCTTAAGCATAAGCGAAAGGAAATGAACCTGGAGGACCTGATCCAGCGACTCCGAATTGAGGAGGGGAACAGGACGAATGATGGAAGAAATTCTGTCACTATTGGTGCTAAAGCCAATGTTGTGGAGCATGCTAAAAACTCCAAGAAGAACAAGAAGGACAAGCAAAAGCTAGGTCCGAAAGGAGGCATTACCAAGAAGAAATTTCATGGAAAATGCTTCAATTGTGGCAAGACTGGCCACAAGTCCTCTGAGTGCAAAGTTCCAAAGAAGAAGAACAAGAGTTCTGAAGCCAACATGGTTGAGGAAAGCAATCAGAAGGAGGTCGACATTAGCCTTTCGGCTATGGTGACCGAGGTGAACCTCGTGGACTCTAACCCACGAGAGTGGTTCATCGGCACTGGTGCAACAAGGCATTTGTGTTGCAACCGAGAGATGTTCAATACCTTTGAGACCGTTGAGGGCGAGAAGGTTTGGATGGGAAACTCTGCTCAGTCTGCTGTGGAAGGCGTGGGCAAGGTGGTTCTGAAGATGACTTCCGGGAAGGAACTGACGTTGAACAACGTGCTGTATGTTCCAGAGCTGAGGAAGAATCTGGTGTCTGGCTCTCTGTTGAACAAGCATGGTTTTCGCATGGTGTTCGAGTCAGACAAGGTTGTTTTGTCTAAGTTAGGAATGTTTGTAGGCAAAGGTTATGTAACTGATGGGCTTTTTAAGCTCAATGTAATGCCTATTATCATGAATAAGAGCAAAG